AGAGGAGGAGAGGACAGAGGAGAAGGAGGACAGAGGAGGAGAGGACAGAGGAGAAGGAGGACAGAGGAGGAGAGGACAGAGGAGAAGGAGGACAGAGGAGGAGAGGACAGAGGAGAAGGAGGACAGAGGAGGAGAGGACAGAGGAGAAGGAGGACAGAGGAGGAGAGGACAGAGGAGAAGGAGGACAGAGGAGGAGAGGACAGAGGAGAAGGAGGACAGAGGAGGAGAGGACAGAGGAGAAGGAGGACAGAGGAGGAGAGGACAGAGGAGAAGGAGGACAGAGGAGGAGAGGACAGAGGAGAAGGAGGACAGAGGAGGAGAGGACAGAGGAGAAGGAGGACAGAGGAGGAGAGGACAGAGGAGAAGGAGGACAGAGGAGGAGAGGACAGAGGAGAAGGAGGACAGAGGAGGAGAGGACAGAGGAGAAGGAGGACAGAGGAGGAGAGGACAGAGGAGAAGGAGGACAGAGGAGGAGAGGACAGAGGAGAAGGAGGACAGAGGAGGAGAGGACAGAGGAGAAGGAGGACAGAGGAGGAGAGGACAGAGGAGAAGGAGGACAGAGGAGGAGAGGACAGAGGAGAAGGAGGACAGAGGAGGAGAGGACAGAGGAGAAGGAGGACAGAGGAGGAGAGGACAGAGGAGAAGGAGGACAGAGGAGGAGAGGACAGAGGAGAAGGAGGACAGAGGAGGAGAGGACAGAGGAGAAGGAGGACAGAGGAGGAGAGGACAGAGGAGAAGGAGGACAGAGGAGGAGAGGACAGAGGAGAAGGAGGACAGAGGAGGAGAGGACAGAGGAGAAGGAGGACAGAGGAGGAGAGGACAGAGGAGAAGGAGGACAGAGGAGGAGAGGACAGAGGAGAAGGAGGACAGAGGAGGAGAGGACAGAGGAGAAGGAGGACAGAGGAGGAGAGGACAGAGGAGAGGGAGGACAGGACAGAGGAGGACAGGACAGAGTAGAGGGAGGACAGGACAGAGGAGGAGAGGACAGAGGAGATGGAGGACAGGACAGAGGATGACAGGACAGAGTAGAAGGAGGACAGGACAGAGGAGGAGAGGACAGAGGAGAAGGAGGACAGGACAGAGGAGGAGAGGACAGAGGAGGGGAGGACAGGACAGAGGAGTAGAGGACAGAGGAGATGGAGGACAGGACAGAGGAGGACAGGACAGAGTAGATGGAGGACAGGACAGAGGAGGAGAGGACAGGACAGAGGAGGAGAGGACAGGACAGAGGAGGAGAGGACAGAGGAGAGGGAGGACAGGACAGAGGAGGAGAGGACAGAGGAGGAGAGGACAGAGGAGGAGAGGACAGAGGAGGA